TCCTGGCTGGTGTGGCTCAGTGGACTGAGGGCTGGCCTGAGAACCAAAGGGTCACCGGTTCAATTTCCAGTCAGGGAATCAAACGTGCCTGGGTTGCAGGCCAGGTCCCCTGTTGGGGGCAGGCAAGAGGCAACCACACATTGGTGTTTCTCTCCCTCTTCTTCTCCCTCCTTTTCCTGCTCTCAATAAATAAATAAATAGAATCTTTAAATAAATAAAGTCAAGTATATTAACATGAAGCAAATGCTTGACACATTCAGAAATTGTATTCCAAGCTATTTAAATAAATTTTTTAATGCTATACTCTGGTAACTTTAGACATCTAAAGTAAGGTAAATCAGATGCAGATTTACAAGTCACCTAAAGCTCACCAATTCTACTTATACTTTTTGAAATTTCAAAGATTTAACTAACAGAAAAGGCAACATTTTCTGGAAAAGTTATAAGAATCATGCTAATGTGTAAATGATACTCATTTTTGCTCTGGCTCAAAGTAAGAAACCAAGGTCTATCTAACTGATTGTACACATCAGGAGAGACAAATAAAACTAGTATTCAATACAAACTAACAATTGACATAGAGCTAGCAGAAAGGCTAAAAGAATTGTTGAGTATGGATGTTACATATACCACAAATATAGAATAACAAAGAATATTAAAGGATTTAAATGTTAACACAATTCTAGAGCATTCCAAAGGATTCTATTATATTCCCTTGCTTGTGAACAACATAACATGTAAGTCAATGTTTTGAGGAAAACATCTTCCTTATGCTAAAAGCATCATCCACTGATTTACCAATTCCTACATTTAAAAAATTAAATGTTGCCTGACTAAAATTCGCAAGTGATTTAAATAGCTAAATATTGGAGAAAACAAGGACATTTTGTTCTTCTTCAACAGATCAGGAAGCACAGTGATAAAAACTTACCTACAAACTATTTTAGGAATAAAGATTTTGGGACTCTTTCCAAACTACTGAAAGGGGATCTCCAGGGGCAGGCATGAGCAAGCCGATTTTGAAAAAGTTCCACAGACTATTTCAGTTGTAAAAACAGACTGATGATTAATGATTACTACAGCAGACAATCTCATCCCTGCCCGGCTTTCATTACCGCCTACCCTCTCTCCTTAAACCACTGCCAATGCCCACTGTTACTACTCCTGACACTGCTGCAGAACCTACTCGCTACAACAGCCAGCGTAACCTTTACAATATGTAAACTACAACATCTCATGGCCCACTACACTTCCGTAAATTTCTTACCCTGGAACGTAAAGCCCTGCATTATCTGACTCCTGCCTCTCATATCACAGCTTGTACCATTCTTATCCTCAACTACTATACTCCTGCAACACTGGCCCTTTTCCCCCGTCTGACACACCAGTATCTTTCCCATCTTCAGGTCTTTACACTAGCAGCTCCTTCCATCTAAAAGGTCCTCCCTCTGACCACTACTTGGTTTACTGTTCCTCAACATTTACATCTCAGTTTAATGTAGCTCCTCAAGGAAGTCTTTCTCCAATCAGCCTCGAATCAATTATCTCAAAACCCTTTTAATAGTTTCTGTACAGCGCACACTGCTTTTGGCAACTAACATACATTCTTACCTTTTTTTAAACAATGTGTATTTCCCTCCCGTGAGAGTAAACTTTCTATGAGATCATGTCTGCTTGCTTACTACCACATCCCCACCAGCACCTTCACTGCAAGTGCACTAAAAAATGACTGCCAAGCCAATGTACTTCGCTATTACAAAGAAAAACATTTTAAAAAGAATCTTGTTTTAAAATTAGGTGGTGGCCTGACTGGCTGAGATATCATCCTGCAAACCAAAAGGCTGCAAGTTCAATTCCTGCTGGAGCACATGCCTGGATTGTGGGCCAGGTTCCCAATGTGGGGCGTGTGAGAGGTGACTGATCAATGTCTCTCTTACATATCAATGTTTCTCTCCTTCTCTTTCTCCTTCCCTTCCTGTCTCTCTATAAACAAATAAATAAAGAAATCAAAGAAAGAAGAAAGAAATCAATCTTAATAAAAAAACTGGCAAAATGAAAATCCAAATCCCTACTTACTTGATTGACATCTTCACTTGGATATCTTAAAGGCAACAGAAAATATTCCCTAACACAATTTATGATCTCTTTACCTCCTAAAAAAGGTGGGCCTACCTTTTCGTGTTTCTGACCTAAGTGAACAGCAACACCCTAGGAGTAGCATAAATAAGATATTCAGGAGCCCTCCTTGACACTTCCCTCTCCAAGTCCAGTCATAAATTTGTCTTTTAAATATACGGAATACATCCACTCTGGCCCTCTCTTCTACCACCACTTCCCCATCCAGTGTTTAAATTACCATTTCTCACCTGAATTACCCCACTAACCCCTCCACTTCTCCCCTGGCATCCCTCCTACTCATGTGCTCCACTGCAGCTCTATGATCTATTCAAATACAATCTAATTTATCACTTCCCTACTTAATATTCTTTAAACAATCTGTTCTAGATCCTCTAGCATCATTTCTCACCACTCCCCCATCCATTCTTTCATTGATTCATTCAGCAATATATATATACTGAATACCCACTATCAGGCTGATACAAAATTGACAAAGATGCTAATCTCATGAATCTTATAACCTAATTAATAGAGGAAGTTATCATCAACAAATACTAAGTCACGGTCACAGAGTAATAAGTACTAAGATGAAGAAAAAAGCAGTGTAAGTTCATGGAACAACTGTTCACCATAGGGGCACAATGAAAAATTGTGGCCATATTTTTGGGTTGTTCCAATAATGAGAAGAAGCAACTGGCGAACTCCAGGGATGCTGACCGTCCTGCAGTACAGGCCAGCCCCACACACACAGTACTGTTCTCATCCCACGGCACTTTCACACGTCCATGTAGGTGACAAACCTGCTTGTAATTATCTACCTCCTAACTCCATTTTACATACAAACATAAAGGAGTTATATACATTCTAATTACATAGATTCCCCAGGAATGGAACTACCTTATAAAGTAAAGGAGACTGTATACTGTGTTTAGTTTACAACTTTACTAAGAATTGATCACCATTTGAAAAATCAAGTCATTCAGTAATGTAACTTAGTCACAAATACAAAATAACTGTGTACACTCCCATTTGTAGTATTATATTAATGATACTATGTGTGTAAGCATCTAACTACTTCATTATGTCTTTACTAATAAAAACTGTGCCTGGGTATATACATTATTAAATATATATTAATTTGTTATAAATTACTTTCATTTCATGTCTTTCTCATTAACCTAGGGTATTTATTTAATTTAATTATGTATATTAGAAAGTCATATGCAATAATTCATTCATTTGAAAAATATTTACTGGGCACCTACTTATGTTCAAATCATTATTCTAAGCATTTCAGACACACTAGTGAAAAAAAAAAACCCAACTAACGTAACTGTAATAAGTCAGTCAAATTTTTAGTTTGTTAGAAAAGAAAGCAGAGCCAGGTAATGCGGGTTGGGAATGCTGAATGGGTTGAGTATACAGGATGCAAAGTTAATTAGGGGGTCAGTAGGCCTCACCGGAAAGGTGAAAGCTGAGCAAAGCCGTAAGGTAAGTGAAACAGCCAAGTACAAAAAAGGGTAAAGCTTTAAGCTAGGCATACATATGGCATTTCTGAGGAACAGTAAGGAGACCACTGTGTCCACACTACCTTCTAAATATTTCTTACATCTCTATATTATAGTAACTTCTTTTTAAGCCTGTTCGAAAACTAGACTGTAAGCCCCACTCCGTAAGAGGCCATGTTTTCTCTTCTTAATATCATCAATACTGCACAGAGTGCCAGTACACAACAGACACCCATTAAGCATTTGCTGTATGAAGCAAATAAGTGATGAATGAACCAGAAGAGTTTTCTGAAGAAAATGACAGCCAAACCTCAAAAAAATATTAGAACTAGAAATCAGAAAAGAATGAAATGACAATAAAACCAAAAGAAAAGTCAGTAACCTAAAATCTAGACAAAATCCCAAAGGTAAAAAATATTAGGCCGTAACTGTACTTAAAGTAACAAGATGAATTTAAATATAATAAAATCTCTTAAGTAACTACATTTGAACTCATTCTATCTGTCTCTTAATAAAATGTACAATGCAGTATAAATCTACCTATAAGATCAGATCTAGATTTCTTACTAAAAGGTTCTACCTACTTTAGACTAAATATTCTTGTACTAAAGCATATGCATAAAGCTTTTAACACAGTGGTAAAGTTCATTTTAACAAATAACAGACTTAAGTGCTGGCAGAGTTTAAAGACAATTTAGAGACCATCTACTCCAATTCTCTCATCTTAAGGATGACAAGTTGAGGATGAGAGAATTCAAAGGATCTGTCAAAGGTCACAGCAATTTAGTGATACACCTGCTAGGTTCAACAATGTTTATGAGCAGATACCAAAATAACTTACAGGACTTTTTAAATACTAAAGAAGTACTATCGCTACCATACTACTTCAAGGAAAATGACGGAATCACTGTCTACTGTATTCCTGGGCCAGGTAAAAAATAAAATCATTTTAAAATTCTGTATTTAAAATAAGAAACTGAAATTCCATTTAAGAAAAAAACTATATGGCCAAAAATAGAATTAAGTAATAAAATAAACCGAAAATTTGCTCTGGTTATTTCTACTTAACAGCAAGTACTGGCATTAGTACCCTGTTGTCCCTAAAACTTTTCCCCCAAATAGTATCTAAAACCCTAATCTACTTATTATTGTTAAGTAGTCTCATGAACCAAATAAAATGACAAAGGAAATTCCTACTAATAGAACAGGGATCATTTTTATAACCAATATTCTTATGATTATCAACTATATTTTGCACATTTAAAGATAAAGAATTATTAGTCCATTGTATATTTCACCATATTAAGTCTTGAATCACTAATCTGAAATTAAAGAAATCTTAGAGCATTAAAACCCCACACCTGAAAGACTTACCATTTTATCTAGATGTTCAATGGATCTATAAATCTCCCCCTGGGATTCATCATAGTAACTGTAACGGAACCTCTGACCTTGAAACAAATATCATGTACAAAATAAAATAGGGAAAAATTAGAAGCTAAAAAGAAAGCAAGCGCTTACCAAATAATTTCAGTTCTCAAGGAAGGCAAAGCACAGCTTAAGCCTCTGAGAGAATCATTCCCAAAAGCCCTTGTACATAAAAATAAAAGGCATATTTGGGAAGGTAATAAAGAAATGATATATCACCAGTGTTTTATGATGTTAAAACTATTTCAAATTATAAAACCTTATAGTCACGAGCAATACAAAAGACTAAAGAAACGAAACAGCTTAAAAGTTAGAAGCATTGTTAAATATATTATATCAGTCTACAATGAAAAGTAAACCCAAAGAATATGATGCAAGAAAATTTGGTTTAAGGGAACTGTCTCAATGTAACAAGTCAACGAAAGCTTAGCTTTTGCTTACAAATGCAAAGATTTGATCTCTATTATAGGAAAAAAATGTGTAGATCAGAGATATATGTGGTCTCTGTGATTTTCATGACTTAAAAAAAGTTTATCTCATTTTCACAAAACTTTCTACTTGGAACAGTATCAATACAAGTGCCTTAAAATAGGATTCACAAAAGAATATAATAAATAGTCCTACTCTGACAATAAAATCTCAGTAAGGGTACAAGCAGAGAACATTCCATGTCTCGCTGTTCTCCAAACAGAGGGTAAAATGCAAGAAGCTCAAAAAGAAGACAGAAAACAAAATACTGTGGAAATAAATTTTTCTTCTTATTCAAGTCAGAGAAAAACGAAAAGAAATGTATCATAGACCCACATACTAACTGTGGACTGTTATACTGATTATGGTGCATCTAAACCTTTTTTCCAGCAACATCTTTATTTCCAAGAACTTACTACTTTTATATTTCCTTATTTGCAAAGAGTCACCAAAATGCACTTCTAAAGGTATTACAGCACACCAGTCATGCATGTGTGCACACACTATGTGTCTTGCGGTGCATTTTCAGAGTAAGCTCACATGTTCAATTATTAACCTCACACTTTCCTAAAAAAACACCATCTTATAAATAATGAGCAGTAGAAAGTTATAAAAAGCCCTTTTGATGTCTCTTTGGAAAAACCAGACAGCACAGTTCTTAAAACTTCAGTTACCTGCTGATGCTGGTTATCTCTGATGGTCACCTTTCTACAATATACATATTTCCTTAACTGTCACATTTTAAATTTTCATATACATTACTATGTAGCACTACTCAATGTAGCAGTTCTTATTTTCCCCCAAGAGCCATTATTAAATCAATATTGCATCTTACGTGGTATCCTAGAATCAAGCAAGATGTTCTGAGACAATTATCTGCATTCTGAACATAAAAACCTCTCCTGTAAACACTGAGACTCAGTACAGTCCTTGCACTAAAAAATTCTTAAGCAGTGACAATTCAGCACTCAATGTCCCTATATTAAATAATTCATCAGACTCTTTCAAAATTTAGGATTAGGTATAGATTTGTTTGTCTCTAAAGGATGTATATACTTCCTTCTACTTAATAGAAAAATATATAATTTACCCCATTTTTCCTATTTGCCAGGTGACTGTCAGCAGGCTCAAAAACAAATCTAAAGTCTGTCACAATAATTCATTGATTCAAACAGTTATTGACTTTTACTTCAATTTCAAGTTCTTTTGATAAAGCTGTCCAAAATGTTTGAAGGAACAATTGCATGAATAATCTTAGACAAGGAAATTCTGACTCGATGTCACTGAAGTAAGCAATATCCTTGTAAGAAATCAAGATGAACATTCTTTGAACCTGACCTGCTTCAGGTATATACTAACGCATTCCTTGCTCTTTCTTCTAGAAATAGCTATTATTTTTAACTGTCAATAGTCCCTGTGACCAGGAAATAACTGTCTCTTCTGAAGACTACTCTTGGGCGCAAAGAAAAATACATGTACTTTGTGATCGCCATTTGCACCTCGAAAGTCTGTGTGGCTTATCTCCAGGTTCAGAGCTACTATTTCAAATAGGTGAAGGTGGCTAAACTTGCCTTAGTGCAAAGGGTAACTATACTTAAAAATGTTGTCTTGTTCACATGGATCATTTTAGAGATAAGGTGTACTTAAAACTACTTCTGAAGTAAAAGTACATAGAATGTTTGAAACCTAAAAATGCTAAATCAACATGTAACTTAATAAGACAAAATACACAGCAAATCAATGAGCCAATAGTTGGGAGAACTGAGTAGAAATATCTGATGAGCTCTAAAGAATCTATCTGTTAAGAAGCTAAATCCACACTACATATAGCTACTACACTGAAAAAAATCTAACTTATACCAGCTCAAACTGTCTCACAATTTTTAAAAATTGTACAAATATTTAAAAATTATTCCAGAAAATTAATTTATTCTGGTCGATGCACATACAGAAAGCATCTAATTTAAAATGAGTAACTGCCACCATCGCAGCTTGTGTGTGTGTGCACGTGCTACCACTATGCACTCAATTTCAATTAGATTTGGATTTGAGTTCAAAAGATCTTTTTTGTTTCTAATTACTAAAAAAATAAGTTTACCAAGATTTTACTTAATAAGAAATAAATGACAATAACATCATAATACCCTAATCATAAATGTACCTTTAATTAAATATTTATTGCTAATTTATACTATATTACCACTTCATGTACCTCCTGTGCAGACATAGTTTGTTTTACAATCAATATTTCTAACAGTCACTGAAGCTTACCCACCTAAACTGAGCAAACACAGTTGCCTCTGCACCTGGAGAACTAGACTTGTGTACTTTTACAAGTATGAATAAAGCATATCACATAGTAAGAGAAAATTACTTACCTGAAACTTATCCTTTCAGAAGGTACACTGGGAAAATGGATTCTCTGAGCCCCTGTTTCAACTCCAAGTATGAGCTTTCTAGCTTTAAGAGCCATTGTGGCTGCCCCTAGGGGCAGCACAAGCTTTGGAACTCCCCTAGTGAGTTTGTCAGTGGTTTCTTCAGGTGCCTTCCCTCAGTTCTTTTCAAATTCAAAAGATGAGAGAAAAAATAACCCAAGAAAAAAAATCCTGTAAAGTAGAAACCTTACTCTTTGAGGGAAGGAGGGTAGCTCATTTGTGAATCCATTCCAGAGCACGCTTTCTGAGAAAAAGAAATACAGGTAAGTAATTTTCCCATCTCCAAAGGTGACTGGTGATTAATGAGTGGATTCACAGAGTGTGGAGAATCAGCTCCAGGGATGTCTGTTTCACACACAACTAATGAGGACAAACATAACAATGAATGTACGAGAACCCACACTACTTCTTAAGTACCTCAAACAAAAAGTAAAAGAATATGTATACTAAATACCTCAACATTAAGCTATACGCTGGATTGCGGAATTCAACGAGGAGCTTGGAAAACTAATCTATAAAGCCCTCAAAAGACCAGTCAATAAGACACTTTCAGACATTTGTCCAGTAAAAATTATACTGTTATACATTCACTTAATTACTTTATGTTTATATGTTAAGATATTTAAAAATACTTTAGTAAAACTCAGAACCTGTGAGATGGATTGCTAAAGAATTAAAACTGGGAACATTCATAACTGAGATCACTATCAAAGAAAAAAATAGATATTTCACAAAGGAAATATATTCTGAGCAGCATCAAATAAGGTAATCATTTTTATAAGCAAACTACTATAGCCCTTTCATTCTGAAACCTTAGTTATAATGTAAAAGTATTAGCCTTCTCTCAAACTTTCAAAAGATCAAAAACCTAAATATGTGAAGTCAGTATGTATAAATATCAAAGCTAGGGTAAGATATATTTCAGGAATTAGCTGACTTATTCCTTAAGCAAATTAAATATTTACAAAGTAGTAATACCCTGTCTATCCCAAGAGACTAACAACATAAAGGAGGAAGAGTATGCGTGAATAATCACTTTTTAATACATATTACAGTAGAAATCTGGATAAAGATATAAGTATTTAGAAGGATAATTTTTAACAGGTGGCACATATTTATGAAAAAAACTATGTAAACCTAGACAAATATAATAAGTTCAGAGGTAAAAATCCAAAATTGCTGAAGTGACAGAAATAAATTTTATTCATATTTTTTAAAAGAATATAATTTATCATTGATATTTACCAAGTAAATGTACTGAAATTGATTTGTACTTAAAACCACCATAAAAGGAAAATCAAATAAAAGCATGAATCCACTTTTAAATCATCAGTTTCTGTTAGCTCCGCTTTCACTTAGTAACTTCTTTAAAGTTAACTAAAAATTGTTACTGAAAGCTGTTAATAGTCTAAATTTGGAAACATAAATTTCAGAGAACTCAGGAAAACACAAATACTAACAGTATATATGAAGAAGAATAAAATGAAACTTAGGAAAATAAAATAAAAATCCCACTAATTACAAAAACTAAAATAGGCCCAGAAAAAATTCTCTTATTATGGAGCCATCCTATAGAATGTGGAACTTGGTAAGTATACAAAGTATGGGGACAACCTTATTTAACCAGGGTAAAAATCAAATATTAGCAGCAAATGTCCTTTCCCATATGTCACTCTTCCTGATAGTAACAGGAAAAATGAAAAGAGATGGGATCCTTGTGTTAGCGGAGAAACATCATCCTACTGAGCCAATAAGATAAAAGGCAAGCATTGAAGTGCAGGGTTTTTGCAAGTGAATCCAAATGAGGAGATAGTAAGAAAGGGAGTACAAACTCTAGGTTCCCAACTCTCCCTTAGCTCCCCTCACCCAAGAAGGAAATGAGACTCTATTTTGTATCTCTCTAATACCTGCTTCAAGTCTGAATCAAGGTAAGTGGGATCTGAAAGATGGACACCTTTAAAGCACTTTTAAAAAAGGAAGTAAATGCACACTGGCTAACAAAATCAGCAAGGCAAAATTCTTCCAGCTACACCTAGGTCTCCCAACTGTCTCTATCACCAAGTTTCTCACTTTGTTCCTCACAAAAGCTGGACAATACACAAAAGGAAACAACGACTAGAAGTGAGAAATGTCATTGCCAGTACTCTACTGTATTATTCAGCAAAAATAAAAAAATTCTACTGTACACGTGAGTAATTTTATCAACTGTACCATAATCCATTAATAGACTTTTCTTCAAAAAACCAGCTATTTAGAAATATAGAATGTGTTAAGAGTCTAACAAAAAACATGTTAAAGTCTCTTAAGTTCTCAAGGAACTGAATCTTTCCTGTAGAATGACTTAGAATCCAGTGTTATCATTCCTTTGGCATGGTAAAAATCAAACTGTAGAGTATCTTTAAAAAAGGAAGAAACCACTGAGTATTACCTTCATGAAAAAAGTTAGATACCTGAGATGGGAGTACAGCACTCACTAATTCAGAGAAGATGACTAGTGCCACCGAATCACAAACTTGAGAAATAAGAAACAACTTCCAAGGCAGTTTAGCCCATAACTAGCCAATGATACATATTATTTCAATAGGCATATTAAATAGAATATAAATCTCACTTTACAAGAATAACAGTTACTATTACTACTTTAGAAAAGAGACTACCAATTTTTGAATAGCATCCTTACAACACCTTCAACTTACCCCCAAACCTCAATCAAGTTTCCTAAGTAGAATCAGTACAATGCTTTCCATACACACAAAGTAAACACTTGATGGATATTGTTAGTGATAGTAAGTGAAAAAACAAACAGCTGAAAAAGTTGTATTACTTAACCACCAAACATAAATATAAATATGTTTTGGCCTATGTTTCACATTCCACGATCACCAGAAAAATGTATGTTGTAATTTAAGTCCCAAATTTTCAAGACATTAGATCAAATGACTTAAATAATTTTCTGAGAATCTAGATAGAATGTAACACAAAATTTGTTTTTCTCTCCACACTATACTTAAATATAGTAGTGCAGTAGGGTTTGTTTACTCTCAAATGCAGTAGTGAGGTAAAGAACGACCCCACAGAGAAGAGCAGTGTTAAGGTGGCCACTGACACCTTAATACTTAAGGCGTTCTGCATGGATCTATGCTGGGGCGGCACATGGTGCCAACCTAGGAGAAGGGCTGAGACCCTGAAAAACTGTATCATGAGAACCAATTATTTAAATCATGGAGTGATTTAAAGTGATGCATAAGAGCCTTAAAAGTGAAGAGGGAAGGGGCAAATGCTTCATGAATTTTTAATTTCTAAAACATTATTACCATTTCAAATTTATAATACTAAAGAAAAATAGCCCTTTTTTCCAATATGATGCACCTTAATTTTTAAGATCAACTATTACTAAACTTCAGAATTCCCAAGAAACTCTTTTAAGCATCTACCTAGCCCTCAGATATAAGTATAGTCACACCTTGGTACTCGTCAGTTCAGAACTCATCAAACTCTGTGCTCGTCACATTTTAACAAGAAAATGTTTCAGCACTCAGCACTTGCTCAGGACTCGTCTCACTCGCTAGAACTTGAGTGAGTCATGACACCACTGCACCAGAGAGAATGCTTCATCATTTGGTAATTGGTACTCATGGGTTTTGACACTCCATCGCAAGTTCTGGAACGAATTAACGAGTATCAAGGTACCACTGTAATATACTTATAACCACAAAAAATAACATCTCCCGAAGGTAGCCAAGTGAATTTGTCATTAAAGACCCCTGAGAACATCTGAGGAAGTACGGCAAAGTAGCACAGCTATGAATACCCTAAACAAGAGCTTTCACCTCAGCACTACTGATATTTTGGGCAAAATAATTCTTCAATGTAGGGGCATTCCTGTGCATTATTATAGGATATTCACTGAGCAGCTTCCCTGGAATATATTCACTAGGTGCCAGTGGCATCCTCACCGCCCACCCACCAAGCTGTGATGATCAAATATGTCTTGAGGCATTTCCAAATGCCCCCTGGAGGACAATCCACCCCACTGAGAAATTGGTGCCTTAAATAAAAATACCACTAGGGAGGATGATTCTTTTGAATTGAAATTTCAAGGCCACTCATAGCACAACATAACAGAAGAAAATGCCAGCCTAAACAGTTCAGATAAATGTTGAGTTAACTCTAGCAATGAATGGGTTAGAGGTAAAAAGCCAGGGCTCCCTAGATCTCACTGAGGATGTTTTTCAGGCCATTCTAGCACTCCACCTTAAAATTTATGGTCTTGTGCCTTATGCTTTCTTTATAATCAAAGCAATCTGAAGGATGAATAGGTAGTGGCACCCTTAAACCAATGAACACATGAGTCAAAGATACGTCCTACAATGAACAGTATTCAGAAATATTCTAGAAGAGTAAACGAGCAAATTTTGTCCAAAGAATTCAAAAATCAAAATTTACTGAAAAAAGCACTGATAAATATCTCACTTTCTTTATGATCTATTCACTGTGAAGCTTCCTTATTCTTTTAACTCACAATAATAATAAAAATCACTTAGGAGTCCTTGACCTTATGAACCATTCCCAATGAAAACCACATTTGCTAACTGCCAACATGTCACAATCTTTGGAAGGTACTTTACACTGACAGCAATCATGGGCAAAAATTAAGCATCAAAGGAATAAAAGAAAGAAAAAAAAAGACTAATTACAAAAAGAAAAATGTGGAAAAGGACTGCCATTGCACAGAGTGCTCTTCTGTGTTCTAGAGAAGAAAATTTGTTTTATACACCAAAAAATCTACTTCGGGCATCTACCACACAACTCTACCTGGAAATGGGGTTAAAAGATTTTAACTCCCACTAATGTAAGTGCCTAAGCAAGGATGCCCTCACGGTGTGAATCCAATTATACCAGTCGCCTTTGGAAATGTCTTCATAATCCACTATTATAATCTGATCCTTTTTAAATGACCAAGAGACTTTTTATTCACTTTTAAACATTGCTGCTAAAAGTAAAACTTTCCAAGAAAAGTGACAGAGAACTGAAAAACAGCTTAGAATGAAAAGATACCTTTAACCACAGTATGTAATAGCTACCATGATATGTTAAAATCTAGAACTTACCCCAATGGCAGAAATCAGAAGAAACCACAAAGAGATTACTAGGATCCGCTAGATATTTACTGAAGAGTTTTCCGAATTCCTGTTCTTTTGACTCACTCAGAGCTCCAACCAGTACAGGAATAATGGTAAACTCATCCTTATGGCTTAAAGAAAACAGAAAAAAAAGTCACTTAAGAAGTATAAGAATAAAAATAGTTTCCAATTTGCACTAAAAAGTGGAACATTTATTAATACTGGCAAAGATAATACACATAATATTGTTGAATTCTTAAAATATATACATGAAATGTTTAAGGAAGACCATTTAAAATGAGAGGTACGAGTGGTACAGAATACTCAAAATATCCATTTAAATTACAGAAATGTACGATACTTCCTTAGATAAACAAAGCTATTTTACTACCAAGTAGAGTAAGATCATCAGATCATCACCAAGTCAAGTTTTCTCAACTACCCATCAAGGCTAGAATCACCTGCCCGATCCTTCTGCAATTTTAAAAGAACATTAAACTCTTCCTCATCTATTTTAATCCCATGCTATTATTAATATCACCATTTCTGGCACTTGTTCTATAAACCTGCCAACTGAGACCTACAACACTTAATACTGGCTCCCATAAAATTCGCCAACTACACTTCCACCTGTAGTAATAAACAGATACAGGATAGCCTGAAAATACAACTCAAATTTTACTGGCGTCTAGGGTGAACATACAATTCAAGGAAGTAGGTATTATTTTCTAGCAGCAAGAAAAAGACACCATGGCCACCCACAATGTTTATGGCATATCCACAAGTCCCTTTTTCACTCTACAGATTGACAGATTTATGGAAAAGGAACAGCGCAGATTAATAAAGAAGAACTATGATGGGCTATAGAAATAGACGTTTATCCAAACCCTTTTAAAATGTTCATTATAGTGAAATTTTATTTATATATATTCAATATTATTTATATTCTAAATTAATATGAAATAAGCATGAAATCATGTTTGTCTAACTTGTTCTGAACAGGACTTAAGGGGAAAAAAATCACCATTATAATAAATTCTTTTTAATATGACAATTTGACACTGATGTAGGACAAACAGAATTTATAAAAAGGTTCTTTAAAGTACTAAGTTTAAGTAGTCCCAAAATAAATGTTAGCCCAGCTTCATAAAGCTAAATTCGGGGCACCCAAGCGCCTCCCCCATAGAAGCCCCCTTACCCTTGTCAATTGCGAAATAAACAGATCATACAGATCTCCAGTCCCTCTGCAATGCAGGGGCTTCTTGGGCAGAATCTGCATCTATGGAGTAAGAAAAAAAGAGGAAGCTGGCAGAGGAAGCTGCCTTGGGATAGTTCTTTCTCTGACTCTTACCAATTTGCTTAACAACTGCATGAGTGAATAGGGGCTCTTCAATAAATTAAGAGTGATTATCATTTCATAAAAGAGAATCTGAGCTCTAGCAAAAGTTCAAGAAGATTGTTATGACCTTTTCTAACTTCAAATACCACCTACATAAATAAATACACCAAGATCATCAAAGAGTCTGCAAGTAATTATGACATGGCAGCAAAGCAGTTTTATAGAGTATAAAAAACAAGAACTCAGAAGAAATGGGTTCAAGGGCTATCTCCATCACACACCAGTGTTGAGAGTATGGCCAACTCACCAACCTAACAATTTCCTGATCTGTAAAATGATCATAATTACACCATCTATTTCATAAAACTGTTACAAATGAGGAATACTACAGAAGTGCTTTGTCAATAATAGTTGGCTCACTCTGTAGAAACACGTCTTCCTTCCACAAGTCACCAAACTGTTCAGTTAACCTGTTTGAGTTTGCAAACTGATCTATACAAAGATAAAATTCTCATACTAAGAACTCTAAGCTTTGATTCAAGATTCATCCATCTACCTTTGTCATTCTCCCTTTTAAACAATTACTGTTTTCCATCCCCACAAAGCATGAAGTAGAAAAAGGAGCACTGGGCTTTGATATGTAATAATCCTAGGTTTTAGAATATGGAAAACAATTTATGAAACTGAATAAACTGTCAAAGACAACCATTTTGTGCTCTAAACATCAACTAAAAACAAAAAAAATCAGAGTTTATTCATGAAAAATGACTGAATTTCTTAGGAAGAAGAGGGGAAGCCCAGCATCTTAGGAGCTGTCTCCTAAGACATGATGACTAGAGAAGACCCAACAGAAAGTAAAGGAGGCAAACTTGAACACAGCCCGAACTTTGAGTGTGTGACCCAAAATCTACACAATCTACCACCAGATGGTTAGAGTTAGAGTTAACTAACTCTAGAGTTAAGGCTTACAGGCTCCAGGCATTCAAGCACAACTGCCAATGAATCCTTAGCTAAGCACTATGCAAACCAGACACAGGGGCACACTCTAGGAAGCCAAGGTAAAAAATACAAGAATTCTTTAAAAACTGAGCATATACATTCAGTAGCTATATACTGTGGTAGGGGGATACTGCAGTAAGAATCCATGAAAGTTACTTTTTTTAAAAAAATGAGGAGATGAGAGAAACTTCCAACACCACCACCTCCTACAGAAAAAAGTTAACAGAATCAGAATCAAGTTGCTATAATATACTAAGTAAAAATTCTAGCTTTTTATATTTTATTGATTATGCTATTATAGTTGTCCCAATTCTTCCCCCTCTGCCCCACTTTACCCACTCCCTCTCAGCAATCATGTCCATGGAACATGCATGTAAGTTCTTTAGCAACTCCATCTCCTATACTGTTTTAAACATCCACCTGCCTATTCTGTTAATACCAACACATACTTCTTAATCCCTTCATCTTTTCCCTCATTTCCCCAAATCCCCCTCCCACCTGGCAACCATCCAAATGTTCTCCATATCTGATTCTGCTTGTTTGCTTAGTTTGTTGTTTAGATTCACCTGATGACAGATATGTATTTATTGCCTAATTATTGTTCATAGTTTTGACCTTTTTCTTAGTAAGTCCCTTGAACATTTCATGTAATAATGGTTTGGTGATGATGAAAGCCTTCATCTTTACCTTGTCTGGGAAGCACTTTCTCTGCCTTTCGATTCTAAATGATAGCTTTGCTGGACAGAGTCATCTTAACTGTAGGTTCTTGCTTTTCATCACTTCGAGTATTTCTTGCCAGTCCCTTCTAGCCACAAAGTTTCTTTTGAGAAATCAACTGACAGTTTTATGGGAACTTCCCTATAGGTAACTATCAGTTTTTCTCTTGCCACTTTTAAGATTCTCTATTTTTAACCTTTGTCATTTTCATAATGATGTGTCTTGGTGTGTCCATTTGTTTGGGACTCTCTGTGCTTCCTGGTTTTGCACGTCTATTTCCTTCACCAAATTATAAAAGTTTTCTTTCACTATTTTTTCAAATAGGTTTTCAATTTTTTGCTCTTTCTCTTCTCCTTCTGGCTCCCCTATGATGCAAATGTTGTACACATGAAGTTGTCCCTGAGGCTCTTTACCCTATCCTTGTTGTTTGGGGGTTTTTTTACTCTTTTTTTTTCTTCTTGCTGTTCTGATTAGATGTATTTTTCTTCCTTATGCTCCAAATTATTGATTTGATTCTCATTTTCATCCACTCCACTGTTGATTCTCTATAAATCATTCTTTGTTTAAATTAGTGTATCCTTCATTTCTAACTGGATCATTTTTATGCTGTTGAAGTATCCCCTGAATTCCTTGAGCATCATTATTACCAGTATTTTGAACTTTGCACCTGATAGATTCTTTAACTTCATGTTGTTTGGCTCTTTCTCTAGAGTTTTCTTCTATTCTTTCATTTGGGCCATATTTCTGTCACTGCATTTTGGCAGCTTCTCTCTGTTTCTAGGTATTAGGTAGAGCTGCTTTGACTCCCTCTTGGTAGCATGGCCTAATGTCATAGGTGTCCTGGAGGGTCCAGCCTTCCCTACTACCCAAGCTGGATACTTCACCTGCAGCCTCCATGTGGGCTGAGTATTCTCTCCTCTCGTAGCTGGGTCTGGATTGCCGTCCGCAGGTTAATAGGACGAATTTACCCAAACCAATAAGCTGGTAGAACTGGCCGTGAACTATCTCCACCTGTGGCTTGTGGAGGTAGCTGGATGGTGGTACTCCAATGTGGTCTGTAACTGTTTGCTGAGTGCACAGGCTCTTGGGATTCCTGGGTGGTACAGGCCAAGATCAGCCACCACCTGTGCTCTGATGGGGCCACTTGGCATAAGCTATAAAGCACAGGTGGCAACCACAAGGCCCATGGGCCAAATCCCGCCCCCCACCTTGTTTTATGCAGCCCAGCACCTTGTTTCTACCCAGCAACAGTGCCAAGCTCTCACTTAACTGCTAAGGAGTAGTTACATTTATACAGTCCTAAAATTACATTCAGCACTTTGAAGGCAACAGCAAGGCTGATATGGCCCCCAGCACATATGAGTTTGACACCCCTCCTATAAAACACTCTGCAGAAGGCTGCTGCTGCTGCTGGTGCTAGGCCTGGGAAATTTGAGAATTGAGGGTATAATAACTGAAATTAAAAAGCCACTAGAGGACTTCCGCCAAGATGGAGGCATAGGTGGATGTGCCGTGCCTTCTCACACAACCAAGTTTAGAGACAACTAAATATTAGCAACAGAAAACACAGCCAGAACACGGAAAATTGAACTTTTCGGAAGTCCGTTAACAACAAATTCTTCAGCCTGACCGGTAAGGGGCGAAACCAGCGGCTGGTGAAGCGGGATTGCACAGGAGGTCTCGGTCAGCCGGACTCAGGCGCGGAATCCAGACGCGGAATCCAGGCGCAGGGTTGGACCTAGTGAGCGACCCAGCGAGCAACCAGGCGAGCGACCGCGGGGGGAGACAGCGGGGCAGTGGGGCTGCGTGTTGACTGAGGTCGCGCATTTGTGCGCGGGTGGACAGGTGAGGGAGTGGGCGGTTGGACCTGGCCGGCAGGTCCCCACGGCCAGCGGCAGTGGAGGGCGCCGCCATTTCCCTGCTCTGACCCCACCTCCACATACAGCATCATAACCCAGCGACTCTGAGTGGCCCGGCCCAGGTGAACCACCTAAGGCGCGGCTCCTCCGCACCCAGCTGTGAGAAACAGCAGAGGGGGCCGCCATTTCCCTGCTCTGACCACGCCCCCACATACGG